TTTTTTTTTTTTGGTTGCAGCCATCATTGTTGTTTTGGCAGGCCCAGGCTGGATTTGAACCCGCTATCTTAGGTATATGTGGCTGGTGCCTTAGCCACTTGAGCCACAAGCACTGAGCCCTGGCCTATTTTCTTGATGAAATTCTTGTTACTATACTTGATCTATAGTCAAAAGGCCAAGAAACAACAGAAACTTTGTTATTGGATGTATGATTTGCAAATATTTTCTCCCAGTCTATGCCTTATTTAATTTTTTAGTGGCATTTCCAGAAGAATAGAAGCTTTAGGTTTTAACAAAGTCCAATTTATCACTTTTATAGCTATGTTCTCAGTGTTACCAGCTCTTTGATTACCCCAAGATCACAAAGTTTTTTTCCATTATGTTTAAACATCATGTTTAAAACTCCTAAGAGTTTTAAAGTGTTACCTCTTAGATTTAGGTCCATGATACATTTCTGTTACCTGGATTTATATGTCTGGGTTTTACATCACACCGTCTTGATTACTGCTGCTTTATAACAAGATTTAAATCAGGCAACATGATTCTTCCGATATGGTTTTTCATTTCTCAAAATTGCTCTGGCCATTATATTTCCATGTAAATTTTAGGATCTGCCTGTCAGTTTCTTAAATTTAAAAAAAATAAAAAGCCTGCTGATTATTTCGGGGGTGGGGGATGCAGAGAGAGTCTCACTCTGTCACTCTGGTAAAGTGCCATGGCATCATCATAGTTCATAGCAACCTCAAATTCTTGGTGATCCTCTTGCCCTAGCCTCCCAAGTACCTGGGACTACAGAAGCCTGCCACAGGCTAGTTTTTTTCTATTTTTCGTGCAGATGAAGCTGGTCTTGAATTCACGAGATCAGCAATCTACCTGCCTTGGCCTCTCAGAGTGTAGGATTACAGGTGTGATCTGTGCCCAGACTCTGCTGAAATTTTAAAAGGAATTTCACAGAATCTATAAATTAATTTATAGAGAACTGCCATCCTAACAATATCAAATATTCTAAAGCATGAACATGGATTACCTCTCCATTTTATATCTTTTCTCTCTGTAATGTTTTGTGGTTTTCAATGTTAAGATCTTTTGCTTCTTTTATTAAACCTATCAGTAAGTATTTTCTTTTCTTTGAGGTTACCGTAAATGAAACCATTTCCCTAAGTTCATTTTTAGATTGTTTGTTGCTGAATATATAGAAATACAATTCCTTTTAGTATACTGATCTTATATCCAGTGAGCTTATTAAATTTGTTTATGAATTCTAGTAATTTTTTTTTAAGAGGCAGAGTTTTATTTTGTTGCCCTCGGTAGAGTGCCGTGGCGCTAGCAGTAGGTTTTCACAGATGTTGGGTTGAGAAAACTCCCTTCAATTTGTTTTCATCATGAATGAGTATTGGATTTTGTCATGTACTTTTTCTGTCTTATGTTAGTTATCTATTGTTACATAACAAACTGACCAGCTTAAAACAATAAACATTTATTATCCCACAATTTTTGTGGGTCAGTAATATAGCTTCACAGGTTGCCACTGACTCAGGGCCTCCCACAAGACTACAATCAAGGCACTGGCCATGATCACAAATATTTCAAAGCTCAGCTGACTTCAGATCATTTTCCAAGATCACTTAGATGGTTGTTAGCAGATCTCAGAAGATCCAATTCCAAGCTCACTCCTGGCTGTTGGCAGGTTTAGGTCCTTGCTGGCTATTGGCCAGACACATTAGATCCTTGACTTGTTGGCCTCTGAAGTACTTGCTTTTGGCAGCTTGCTTCCCTGAAAGCCAGAGCCCCAAGAGAAAGCAGAGTAGGACAGAAGTCTTTTTGTAACCTAATCTTGAAAGTGACATCCAATCTCTTGAAATTCTATTGTTAGAAATGAGTCACTAGGTACAGCTAAGTCTAAAGGGGAAAGGATTATGTAAGGGTGTGAATACCAGGAGATGGGGATTCTTTGGGGGTCCTTTTGGAGGCTGCCTATCACACTGACATGATCATGCGGCTTTTTAGTATGTTATTCTAGAGGATAAACTGTGGCTGAAGGGCCAAATCTTGCCCACTGCTTGTTTTTATATGGCTAACTAAATGATTTTACGTTTTAAAATGGTTAAAACTTTTAAAGGTACTGTTTTATAAACACATGAAAATTGCTCACCATCCAGAAACAAATTTTACTGGAACATGGCCTTGCTTAATTTGTTTATCTACAAACTGCTTTTGTAGCCCCAGATCATATGGGCTTCTTTTTTTAAGGACAGTTTTTGATAGACAGAAAAATGGGTCTCTTTGTGTCTATTCCATTAGGGGTGTGTTGAGCTTTTAGATCTGTAATGTTTTCATCAAATTTGGGGAGTCTTTTTTTTTTTTTTT